AATTTCTTTTTAATTATAGGAAATGCGTTTTTCTAAGATACATAAACTTTTGAGATTGACTATATAGATCAATACATCCTCCAGAATAAACAACAACTCTGAACACCATGTATTTTGTTAATGATCTCAATATTCCGCTCAATCCTAGAGCATCCTCTGCCACTATAGCCATATCGCCTGTGAACTTCAAAGAAAAGATTTTAATTATTCTAAATTATAATTCCGAAGAGTCAGTTTATGTAAAATTGTGTTTAGAAACAAGTATTTTGATACTAAAATGAAATATGCAGTTGTGATTAGAAATATTGTTTAAATTTGATAGTTGATAACTTTATCAATATTGGACAAAATAATTTCAGCCTTAGTTCAAATGAAAGGTTGATCTCTCTACTTTAACTCACTTTTATTGACAATTTTATCTAAATCAAGTAACAAAATATGAGAAATAAATTTATCCAAGTTTAAAGATTGGCTACTAACGAAACACATTGTTTAACTTCAACTGTTCATAACTTTGTTAATATTAGACAAAATTATGTCAACCTTGGCTATAATTAAAGCGTAAACTTTAATTGAAATTTCTTCTTCCGACAATTTTACCTAAATCAATCACTAAAATATGAAAATTGATTTTGCAGTGAAGCTTGTAATTTCAGACAATATTAACAAAGATATCAACCATTAAATTTGAACAATATTTTTCATTAGCATAAAATTATTATAATTGTACAACCTTGGCTTAAATTAAAGTGTGAGCTCTTCACTTTAATTCTCTTCGTCTAATGATTTTATCTAAATCAACAGTTGATTGTTTTATTATAGAAAGCATGCAATACTTATTTAATTTTCACTTAACAACTTTTATTTATAGCTGTGATTGAAGTAGCTGGTTCTTGGCTCTTAAAACTGCGAGACAGGTACAGTTGGTGGCACAGGATTATTCCCTTGCTTCTGACTGGTCTCCATGATGAATTAGAAGAAATTAGAATGAGGTCTGCCGAGCTTTGGAAACAAGTTGGATTACAATACATGAAGGAAAATGAAACTGATGAGAAACTTAAGGATAAAATGGATTTTCTTACTGAAAATCTACCACACTATCCTAAGGGTACATTATAGCTTCTTGTTAAATATAATACGGAATACAGGCTTACTAACTTAATAAGATTGCACGGTACATGAATTTTATCCTCAAACTCTAGCAACACTATTTGTCCAATGTTTGGACATATTTTAGATCTAACATCTAAGATACCATAAAATTTTAATCATTCATTATTAATAGCTTTTGTTTTATAGCAATTTGTACAAAATTTAGCATCGTTCCTAATAATTTTCTTTATATAAGGAAAGCAGTGTTTAAATGATTTTAGGATACCTTTCAGTTGAGCTATCGCTTTAGAATCCTACCAGATTTGAAACTACGATCTCTACTAGTTTGTATTTTCTAACAATTCTTAAAATACACGAAATTCAAATACTCTACTACCAATTCTTTATTTATTATAGAAAAAACTATCATTTTTAAGTAAACTATTTTGAAATACGTACTAGCTATGACATCCATTGCTCTCAACGTGTACAAAAATTTCAGTTCTTTATTGTCTATTACTCTTGTTTTATGACAATTTGTATTATCTCTATACTGACAATGTGTTCTTTCATTAACGCTGTTAGCAAAGTGAGTCGCTCAAGGCTCGCAGTTACCTCACCAAGGACATATTATATCGGTATCTGCTATCTCCTTAGTGGTTTATCTTAATAAATTGAGGGGAAGAAACGGTATTTGGACAGTCAAACCTTTACAAATATAAATTCTTTAGATACAGCATCTGCCAAATTATAGAAAATGACCATCAAAATACAGCCACCCAAATATCTCCTTCATTTGCAGAAAAATATTTTTTATGCAATGTGAATGATATCAAACGATGAATGTTTTCCAAAAAGTTTATTTTCTGAGTGTTGAACATAATAGCTATAAATATTAAGGATTAACTTTTTAAGCTTAAATCGTTGCTAAAACTTTGATGTCGATGGAAATGAATTTTATACTTAATTCCAAAAGTGGAAGCTACAGATCATTTTAAAATTCTGTCACTAATACGGTTGAATGCGGTTCAATTTCAACTATTGTATGCAAAAGATAAAATATATATTCACCAGCAAAAAATTTTTAGTAACGTTAAAAGCTTGGAAGAAAATAATATTGAGCAAAAAGTACTTACAAAGCATTCATCTTTTGATACCATTCATATAGCATAAAAAACATTTTTCCTATCATCGCAAATGAAGGAGAGATTTAAGTGTCTACGTTTAGGTGGACCATCGTACATACCTTCGCCTGGAAGATATTAAACAATACAAAGGGCCTAGCTGGATAAGGAGGTCAAATGTGCCTTTGAGCCGAATGAAGCGCCGTTTGTGCCATTCGATAGCTTAACAAAAAAGAAACATTCACTCCAATTTTTAGCCCTATATCTCAACCAGGGGGGTAGTAATCAGGAAAATTCGAAAAATCAGCTTTTTCAGGTTTTTTCTTATTTAACGCCTTGCAAAAAATCTGAGAAAATTCTAAAAATTGGAGTGAATGTTTCTTTTTTGCTAAGCTATCGAATGGCGCAAACGGCGCTTCATTCGGCTCAAGGGCACATTTGACCTCCTTATCCAGCTAGGCCCTTTCGCCTGTACTGATGCTTAGATGACTTTGAGATATATTTGATTGTGAGCTGTAACATTGATCTAAAATCCTACTATTTTTACGATATACAATATTTAAATACACTGCCGATTATAAAAAGAAAGCTCGAGTTTCCAAGTAAAAGATTTTGGTATATGTCTCACATATGAGAGTACTCTAAATTTAATGTAAATTTTAGCTCTACATTGTTAGCAGTTTCCAAGATATAATCGTTTACCTAAAATACAATTTTAATAAGACCGTAAGCTTTCTGACTTTTTTTGGGAAAATTAGAAACCCTGTTTAACTGGATTTTTTATATGTTTCAAAGACAACATTAATCTAAATTCGCTGTAAATTTTAACTCTCTAGTAATGACAGCTTGCAAAATGCCGTTGTTTATATGAAATATAATTTTACTAGTGGGATTTTATGAGATAGCAAGCTTAAAACTATTCAGTTTTGAATTTAATTTAATCATTTGATACGATATACAATCTAAATTTGACCGTTTAATTTCCTGTAGTTATGAGACCAAATTTGGGTTGTCGTACAATAGCCCAGCAATCTTTTGGCAAATTACTAAACGGAATGATTTTGGAATTGAGTGATTGGATTGCAGACATCAGAGTCAGGACAGCTCAGCTACTGTGTGTGTTCGTCTTACATTTAGAAGAAGATATCACACAGCATATTGGAAAAATCCTTGGCCCCATGTACAGGTACAATTTCATAATATCATTTCATAAAATTGAATTTTTTTCTCAAAAATTCTTCAGAAAATTTAACTGAGATTTAGATATGTTTTCCCTGTAACATTGATATACGAGGTGGGGCACTTAAAACAGGCCACTTGAATAACTTGGCTCATATTGATGACAGGAAAAAATCCATAGGGCCAAAATTATTTTATATCGAGGGGTATCTAGTGTTTTATCTAGTAAACTATTTTCCATCATAATTAGTTTATCTCAGACCACGAATGATCTTCCCAATAGGTCGTTGTATTCGTCTTGAAATACTGTATCAGATGTAAGTAAAAAACATAACCGTTCTATTTAAAACAACAGGGATGACCTTTATATCTCCTATCAAAAAATTAGTAACACCAGATGATCAGCCCCTCGATACCAAATAATTTTGGCCCTATGCATTTTTTCCTGTCACCAATAGGAGCCAAGTTATTCAGGTGGCCTGTTTTAAGTGCTCCACCCTGTAGACACAATGTAAATTTCAACTTGCTATTTTTAATACTTATCAAGGTAGAATTGTTTATATAAAGAATACTGTGGATATGAAAACAATCTAGATTCATATAAACTCGCTATTGTTCATAGTTTGTATTTTACATCAATCTTTACGATATTCAAAATTCAAATACGCTGCCATTAGTGTCGTATTTATTATAAATCAATTATCGTTCATAAGTAAACAATTTTAGAATATGCTCTATCTATAACATTGCTCTAGTACAAAATTTCAATTCTCCATCATTTATGGTCCTTGTTTTATTAAATAAAAAGTTTGAATTACTATTATTTTCTATTACAGGGCTTGTAACGATGAAGACAAGAGAGTAGTAGAGAATTTGGAAAGGGCCTGCGAGTATATGGGCTACTTTGTACTTCCTCAAACATATTTTTCTTTGATTGTACCAACATTAGAGGAGAATTTATCAGTGGGACACTTGAGAGTGTTTTCTTCGATTTTAAAAGGCAGCGAAAGATCCAAGCTCAAACCATTTTTAAAGGATGTGGCTCACTTCTTGGCTCAACCTCATATTTGTCAGAGTAGGAGTGGAGAATACCAGAAAGAACTGCTAGCCTGTTGCTCTTCGTTAATTTCAGCTTGCGATGAGGTACGTTAAATACAATCTTAGACAGTCCAAATTCAATTTACAATCTAAATCAAGTCCAGTTCAATATAAGATAGAATAGAACAGAACAGAGGTGAGGAACGTGCGGCCTCCTTGTACGGTTCCAAATATTATTTACATTTTAATGTATTCAATTACTTTCAAGCAACAAACAACTGCAAATATCCTACTAAGTTAAATTTTCCATCAGACATTAAAATTATTTTCCATATTATTGCTATGTTAGTTATTATAATTTAATATCATTATTTTTCTATTCTATTCCTTTACAAAGTAATAAATTTATGTAAAATTCTTCTACTAATTTGAAATACTTACCTGAAGTGGTATTTAAATATATAGTTGTTTTTTAAAATTGAAAGATCTGGATGAATATAAATATATGCTTAAACAAAT